AAGAGTCTGAAAAAAAAAAAAAAAAAAAAAAAAAAAAAAAAAAAAGAGAGAAAGAGAAAGGGACATGGGAGGAATATAGGAAGACCAGAAAGTTCTTTGCCAAAATAGATTACCTAAAATGGACTCCCAAATCTGCTTTGAAGAGCAGCAATGCAGAAGGAATCCTGCCTTCCACCTAGCTGGGGTTCTGGGGCCTAAATCCAATCTGCAGCATTTCTTGTCCAGGAGGTAGTTGTGGCAGACTTGTGGGGAAAAGAGTAGTGGCAAATTCTACGAATTACAGTTTTCCTGCAGTCTGCTAAATGAGTTAACGTCGTTTCTTCTGGCACTTTTTACTTTCCAGGTGAAGCTTAATCTGAGCCTGTCACTTGGTGCTTTTGCTTAAAATGCCAGTCTCAAAAATATAGTCAAATTTTTCTCTCTGTCTTTCTGTATAGAATTGAAGTTGTAGAGAATAGAACTATATTTAAATGGCTTACAGTAAATGTAAGGGAGAGAGATCAATTTTCAGAGTAATTTCAAGTTGAGCCATAGGATCAAACACCCAGATACTTAGTATTCAAAATGACATATTAAGCAAGAAAATAGGCCATTATATAACTTATTTTATTTCTCTTCTAACAGGTGTTGGAAGATCATGGTATGCCAATGGATGACAGTCAATTTAATCTATGAACAGAAAAGCTGGAGTCTCCAGATGGAGGGTTGAGTTTTCTGGATTTTGTGGAAATATTGGAAGGTAAAGGAATTTTAACACAAACAGAGCATGAAACAAGCCCTTCCTGGAAGATGCAGAATTTTTCTTTTTTGATGGAAGGGTAATGGTAAAAACGATCATTGATATGAATTTTAGTGCTTGGATGACCTTCTTGTCTGAAGTTCTTTGACTCCTTACCTAGCTAAGCTGCTGAGTATCTAACTCAGGAGTAGAAGGAAACTGGAACAGATGGGATGTGACCTAACTAAAGGTCCACAGAAAGGTGTGATGGAGTTGCCACTAACAAATTGCAAGAAGTAACTGACTGATTTCTCTGCCTTGAGTAGATCCGTGCCCTCAGCATTTCTAACTCTTATTCACAGTTTTAGGATTATGTTGTATCCTAAATTACAGTGGATGATTTTATAGTACTGGTCTACTGGTGTCCAGCAACATTTTCTGGTCTGTGTAAAAAGAGAGAAGACAGTAACTACTCCTTTCAGGAATGAAAGATCTGTAAGTGATGAGTTTTACTGGCTCTATATACAACTGGAGATCCGTGGTGTGACCTGGTTACTTACTGGTTTATGGTTTTAATTTAAAGTATTGGTTTTGAATGTTAAAGCTGCTAAGGGACATTGCTACTGGGCAATGCTGAAATGTGGTTATCTATAACATAATTGATAGTATTATTGGACTACCAAGAATCCCAAGGAGACAGTGAGGTTTACTGTTTGTTTAGATATAGATGTATTGTCCACTCATATAATGAGGATGTTGTCTTCTTTGATTTACTGTTGCTGAAGAATGAATACCAGAGGAATATATTTGTACTCTGGGAGCACATTTTTTCACTTCAGCTACTTGCCTTACCCCGTCAGTAATTTCACTGATTTCAAGGCACTGTAAGTGAGGGTTTCGATTTCTACCTCCTAAAAATGAAACTGATGGAATCTGATTTCTTAGGATGGAACCCTAAGTGCAAGGTAAAGCTAATAAGTAATTATTCATTTCTTATTTCTTTTATACATCTAGATTTTGTGAGTAAAATTCTGATGACAGAATTTTATGCTGGTAGTTTTGTCTTTGGCTTCAAAAGCCAAAAAAGTTTTAACTTCCATATTATGCCTCTCGTTATTCTCAGAGGTGTGCATTTATTTTTTTCGCAGTTACTATCCTTTTCTGCTGTCATTATTTCTCGTTCAGAACTAAGACAAGGAGGAGAACTGACTTGTATCTGGCTGATACAATATTCAGGTTTTAGTTCATTCAGTCCTGTAAGTTTAGAAGTTTGTGAATACAGCCAGCTAATCATCTGCCCACCAAAATATGTGTGCCTTCATCCAGCAGCCAAATAAAAGATGCCTGAAACAGGTTAACCTTAAGGAAAATGAGTGTGCCAACTCTTTGATTTAAATCAAGAATCAACAGTGGTTTGTCTGTATTTAAAGTTTTTGCTTTTGCCAATTATGAAAATCACAGCTTTTCTTTCCATACGGTACTATATCCCATAGCTGTAAAAGAAATTGCGACCCACATTCAACATCAACTCTCAGAAATCAGAAGGCAAAGAAAAAACCTTCCTAACTTTTATTTTTTGATGATTTGTGATTCACTGTGGTGGAGGGTGTTCTGTACTTACAGAAAAAGAGGCCTGATTTTCTTCTTATAAGCTTTAGTGGGTAGATAACACGTGTACAAATTTTCTTGACTAGACTTCAATAGAAACTGGAATTGAAAAAGGGGAAGGACAGTGCATGCCTGTAGAAGGGAGTAGGATTTAAAGGGTAAAATCAGGAAATTTTAAAGTGATGCAGTGAATACTATCTAGTGATTCTTCAGATAGTTGTACAGGCTCTTGTGTGTTGGTGTATGTAAAATTTTGAAAAAGGAAAGAAACATTCCTTTAGAACAGATCATTAATTTAGCATTTTCTTATCAATCAGGAGTAGGGTGTAGTGAATTGTCAGTGTGTACCTTTTTCTTCACAAGTTTTCCCCATTTTAAAATCTGTCGTGAATTACTCATCTATATGGCTCATGCATTGCAGAAGACTTATAAAATGCTCAAGAGGCTACAAAAGATGCTTAGTCTCTTTTTTTCCCAGAAGCAAGGCAAAAGAGGTTCCTGGAGTATCACTGCAGAATGAGCAGAAGGAATCAGATCTGGAATGGTAACCAAAATAGCTGTTCTATGGCCTAAAAGGACATTAGCCCTTCAGGACTGGAAGTGCAAGGGTGCCCTGCTGGGAAGCTGGCTGTCGCCCTTTCCTGATCCTGCTGGGGCTGTGAGATAATAAACTTGTGGCAATGTGAAGCTGCTGTTTGTGCAGGACTGAGCCTTGCCAGAACAGAACATCAGGCAAAATAGTTTCAGTGGTGATGCTCTGTTAAGCCAGGAGTGTTTTGATGGTAGATCTGAAATAGCTCAGGTCGGTTCAAACCGCAGGAGGGCTTAAAGGAGATGGTCTAGTGTGCAGTGTTTGTGCTACACAAAGATGTAACAGATTACTTTCTCTGACACTGTCTGCAGCTCCTGTGTGCCCTCACTGAGACAGCCGGGCGGTGTGACAGCGAGTCACGACTTTCACAGTGCTCCTTTCCTCCTCCTCCTCCTCCTCCAGTCTGATACCTCCCTTCCTCAGAGTAAACCAAACAGCCACCACAAAAGAAGGCTCAAGCAAAAGAAAAAAAACCTTGCCTCAGCTGCGCTGTGCTTTCTTCAGCACTAGCAGCTGAGGCCATTACTGTAATTTGGGTGGACACCACTAATCCTGCATACAGATTGTGGACTTTGTCATGTTTGGGCTGTAAAGAATACAATTGCAGAGTTTCTTGTTTCATTTATGTTACATTACTGTGCTGTTTATCAGATACGTTTAATACCATCTTTTCAATGTTTGCTAGACTTTGATTTCATTATCGCAGATGCCAGATTGAAGGGGCCAGGACCTACATTATGTAGCAGCCCAAACCATGGAGTAAATGATGCTAAATATCATTACATGGCTGCTGAAGAATGTCTCAATCAACTTAATGATAAGCTGATGAAAGTCTATGGGGTAAATGTATTGATCCATGGTTTGCTTTGGCAGTGAAGCTGGTTGTTATTTTGATACAAATATTTGTTTTAAAAGTTGGTTTGGGGGGCCTGTCAGGGAAGTGACTCTAAAAATTACGTTGGATTTCATGTCTTCTGTGTTCTCGGAAACTTCCAGTTCAAATACATTCAGCTTTCAAGGCAAAAACTTCTTCCTTTTTTTTTCCCCCTAATTGTCTTCTCTGCAGCCTCTGCCAGGAAAATAAGATCTGAGTTATTTTTTCCCATCCTTTTGTGAGCATAGCTATTAAAGAATCTGCAATTAGAAAAGAATAACTCTGTACTACTCATTCATGGAACAGACCATCTATTCATGAGAATGATCTTTCAAGAAGATGTTCTTAGTCCCTAAAGTTTGCAACACAGGGATCTTAAAAAAGAGATGTTTTCCAGCTTTTCTTATTTATTTCAGCTTTTGCTTATTATTTTCTGTAGTTGCCATTAGCAGGTACTCCTTGAATTCCCACCATGGACATGCACAAAGTAAGAGAGATCACTTTTTACAAAAAAGCTGCAGTCATTACCCTTTTGCTCAGTTCATCCTATCCCCATTGGACACGTCTAGCAAAGGTGATCATATTGATCAGCCTTACTTCAAATTTCTGAAGAACTGCACCATTTAAAAGGTGTTTGAACATTTTGCATCTATTTTAATGGGAGAAGCTGTTCAGCTGGTAGATCAATTGCTCTCAAGTCTGTCTTCATTACAGGTTTTCTAAGGATAGGCAAGGGTAGAAATGAGGTACCTCTACGTATAGTACTGATGGAAAGTGGAGGTCAATTTGTAAATTTGTATGGGGATGGCTTTTTGATGGTCCCTACTTTTGCTCAGTTCTGTACATGCTTAAGATGAAAGCAATAAGATTGCAATTTACTGTGGACTATCCCAAGTAAGGCAGTACTATAAATGCTTCATATTCTCGAACTGCGTTAAAATATTTGCCTGTTGTCAAAACAAGTCTAGAGCAAACATTTGTTATTTATGTTTAAATATATGTAGTTGACATGTTAAATATTCCTTGTTAGGACACCTATTCTGCCTTCCATGAAACAGACAGTAACCGTAACAGTATCATCAACATGCCTGGCTTTCAGCTATTCTCGGAAAGCTTTCTGCTTCATCTTGGAGGAGAGGAATTTTTGTGCCTACTTGGTTTGTTGGGAATGAACCTTACCTCCATGTTAAATTACCAAGAATTCTGTCAACTGTTCCACACCCAAGAAACTAAGGAGGTAGCTTCTCAGGTTATGCCATCTTATAAGTAAGAAAGAAAAAATTGTGGAGTACCTATAGTAATCTGATCTGTTTACAGAAGTGAATATACTGTGTGAAAATTTGTATTGGGTACAATGAAAAAAGATAGTATTAATATATGTCTTTATCAAGCTGACGTTGGGTAGCTTTACCAAGTTCTCAGTGGTTTATGATTCCATTAAATCAGATACTGAATCCAGCACTAGGTCAAAATGCCAAAACTACCCTTGGAGACTGCTCAACTCTGTAAGGTCAAACATACATACTGGTGCCTGAATTGGAGCCTTAGAGCTGAGCCAGCCTCCAAACTGGACAACTTTGCTGCATCTTCCAAGCATGCAGAACTGAGGACATGGATTGCAAATCGGATGTCATTTTGGATTGAGGAGCAGCCAGGATATTACCTGTCTGGCACAGTGTCTGTCAGTTCTGAGACTAATATTGTTGTCAGTGGACATTACAGTAGTCCATGCTCCAGACCTTTATGCTACCAGGACACCAAAAGCAGACAAGACAGGTGAGGTGCACAGAAGCACTATGGAATAGGTGGAGGACAGGGAGAATAGAGCTGCAGCCTCCCTTCTTGCGAGAAGTGACGCTGCTTAAAATGTCTGGAATTTTAAAGTTTGAGCTTTACTTCAATGACAAGTAGCATTTAGGCACTAAAAAATTCGTTCTAAAGACTCAGTGTGAAACTCTGTTTAACTATGCAAACAGAGATAAATTCATAAAAATAATGACAAGATACAGCAGGACTGAAAAAGCTCCTGATCAGCAACTCATCTTCGTTGTGTCAGTGAGGATGTGATACACACACATAGGCTTATTTCCCAGTTTTTATTTGTCTCTTACAGCATTGCTGTTGGCTCTGTTGTTAGTAATATTTATCTGCTTGGTTTGGTTTTCTTCTTTTTTTTTCCTGAATTGGACAACTGAGTGAATCAAGGACATGAGTCTAAAACAAGAAAGGAAACTGATGATGATTGAGTCTCGCTATCAGTTGGAGTCTGAGACCAATTACTGCCGCGCTCTCATTTCTGTTTCAGTTTGGACTTAGCTAGAAATTGAAGCATTTTGAATTGAGCTCCAGAATTTCCTCATTTCAAACATTTTTACTGTTTCATAAGTCCAGCAAGGAAAATGGAGTGATTGAAATCTTAAGAGCACCTGCATTTTCCCACCTAAGTGTTTAGACTATTTTTGTTGGTCGATTTAGGCTGATGGAATCATGTCTCAAGCTGTGGGAGGGGGGAGAAACTCAGGAGGTTCCCAGGCACCTAAAGCAGATTAATGAGGCATTCATGTTTCTAAATCCAAATGGAGGCCTCAGCAAAGGCTGTCAAGGTCCTGAGCCCCAGGAGCCCAGAAATCCAGAGTCAGCAGTGTTGCAGTTCTCCAGGACCTGAGTTCAGGTCTGTGCGTGCCATGGGTGGCACAGGAGCTCAGTGGGTAGGTCAGATGTAGTTACCACATCTCGCCTGGTCTGCAGAGCAATGTTCCTCTGCCTTTTGCTCGAGAAGCTTGGTCCAGGGAACATATTCTTGAAGCGTGGCTGAACCAGGCTCTGAAGCCGTATGTCTGCAACATTTCCTTACAAAGCAGTAGCTGGAGGAGGAATGGGTACTAGGATATAGCATGAGGTGGGCAACTGTACTTTAAGAGAATTTAACAGCCTCTCCTCAGTTTTCTAACTGGAAGTGCTTAGAAAAGCTAAAGAAAATTGGGCACCAAAAGAAGAAGGGCTGCTCTTCTCAGGTGAAGGAAGATGCACTGTTTCAAAGAACAGTGAGACAAGGTCTCCTCAGCTCTCAGATAAGTGTGTCCTTGTGTAGCACATGGAATTAGGCAGCTTTCTGTGTAGTGTGACAGTTATCCTGGATCCTAATCTGAGGCACCCATATTCCTCTGCATGCTTGGATTCAACAAGAAGCACCAGGCCCCTTAACGTTAAGCACATATAATGGTGGATGAATTTGCAAATGTGGGTCTTACTCCCCAGACTTACTAGCCGTGCCTTGGTGACTCATTTTGATCTACGTTATTGACGTAAATCAAGGATAATCTTCCTGGAGTCACTCCAATATATAATTGTTTCTGAGATAATTAACATTTCCTTCTATGCGTATAAACAATCCATGCTGGCTCTTGAGTTTGAGGAAGGATTGAACAACACTGATTTGAAAATAAATAGGGAATTACAAAATTTAAAACATCTTCGCTAACCTGCAGCTAGGGAAATAAGGCAGTATTTAAAGAATTAAGTTTACACAGATGTGAAGTAACAGTCTTTAATGGGTATCTTAGAAACTAGGAAAAAACCACCACTACCATGAAGAACAACAAAAGGGAAGGAAACTTGAGGAGATTAAAGATCCCACTAACATAAAACATAGTTAGTTGTTATTTTATTTTTTTTTCTTTTCTGAGAAAAAAACAGATGATAACGGATGCAGAGCTAGCTTGTGATCACGCTCATTACTACCTTGTTATCAAAGCAAGAACCAGATGGCATGACCTAGCAAGGGTAAGAAGAATGTTTTCTTTAAATAAATAAGTGGCACTAGTAGATTTCAGAACATTATGCAATGTTGATCTTCAGATTCTATAAATATTCAAAGAGGCCCATTGCAAAATAGCTCATTAATGATAAAAACTTACTATATGATTAAAAAAAAAAATCAACAGTTCGAATAATATTCAATTTTTTTAACTTTGATTACGTAATAGATGTTACAGTTACTTCTAAAACTTTTTTCATATTTTAATATTGTTGATTTTATCTAATGTTTCTGTTAGTAGCAGTGGTCTTCATCTGAGTGAGGCCTCTTTGACATCATGCTGTACACAAACACACACCTACTCCCATGCTGACACCCAGCGCTGCCCAGCACAGTGAATCTTTGATTGTGATGTTTACGCCATCTAAAAAGACTCTCACAAAACTGTCCTATAAAAATTATTTATACCTTTTAATCTTTTTTAACTTGTTGAATAGTTGCAGTATTTGGGCAAAAGAGTAGCACAAGGAAAAATGAATATTTTTTTTTCACTAAATGTCAGATGATAGTACTGGAAGTCTCAGTTTTCAAGAAGAATGGTACAAAAAACCAACAAACCAACCAAAACCCAAAGCAAAATCCAACTCACATTACCTATAGAACAAGTTGGGGAGAAAATCTGCAGGTCTGATGTTTTCCAGTGCCTTCATCTTCCACTGGCGTGCTTCAGCTGCGGGCATACCCACAGCTGCATGCATGCTTCTCATGCTCATATTCCCTGTGTTTGCCATCAGTAAGAAACTTTCCACACAGACTACATCATCTAAACACCTGTGATGTCAATCCCAATTCAAGCTTTTGAGAGTTGCACATCCAAAACAGAAAGTAGGAAAGAGCAAAAATCAAATGAAAAAACATTAAAAGATGAAATACAGACGTGCATGATTTTCTATTTCTTTCTCAATTCCCATTATTCATTAAGCTTATAGAGAGATCAAACATTTTGTCACACTTGTTGGTTCTTGTTAGTGATGATTTCTTTTACGTTCCAGAATTTTCAGGAATTTGACAGTGAAGGAAATGGCACGATACAGCCAAGAGACTTGAAGAAAGTCTTGTTCAGATTTGGCATTCCAATCACCCCGGAAGAATTTAAGCAGCTTTGGGCAAGGTATGACAACTCTAAATGATTAGCTCTTGCAATAATGCATCTTTTATAGGATTACGGAGCCTTTGGTAGTGCAGTGAATGACAATAGATTACACCACACAAGAAATCTTTTAATTTGTTACGATTGTGACCTCAGATCATGACACTGTGTTACAGGACCCTATGTCTTACCATTCTCAGCTCAAGAATGCAATCAGATCAATCCATTTCAAATGAATTCAGAGACAGAACTTTCTCTTGACTTCAGTATTACTCAACCCTTTAATTTAAGATACATTCTCTTCTTGGATGGCACATTAGGTCACTGGCTAAGTTAACTTGCTTTTCATTAATTTTGTTTATACACACAAATGCCTACCTGAGTTTGTGAGGGCTGAAGGTCAGTTCCAGGTGTTTTGGGTCAGGTGGGAACTGCAGACAAAGCTTCTGTCGAGGAGCTCTATGGACAATTTATGTTACCTACTTGTCTGAAGGCAGTGCTACCAGCCTCGGCTTTTCAGAGCAGTAAATTTACTTACTGTATTTTCAACCTAAATAAAAATGATTCAATCAAAAGAAAAAACGCTACATACCAAATACATAACAAAAGAAAGTAAGGTAATTTCATGCTGTGTAAAGATGGCAAGTAATATCATGAAATGTTTTTATAGACTAGTAATTTGTTGTGAAGTGGGGGAAAATACTTGTCTGCCTTCAATAAAGAGAAGCTGTGCTATAAACTGTGTTTGAAATGGCATAGATGTCAGCTGTATGTGACATTATATAAAAAGCTACCTTCATTACAGGTCTGTTAAAAAAAATAATCACTCTCTCTAACATATAGAAGCTGAGTGTATTGCATTTTGGTTTCAAACTGCATTAACTATATAGTTTTTTCTTAGTGCTGATTCATCTCTGAATTATTTTCTACTCCATTAGATTTTACTTTCCATTCTTATTCCTTATGGATGCCATGGCACATTGAAGAGTATCCTTTTCATGCAGTTATCTGCTGCACAACTTCGCTCCCATCAGCCACTCCTTTTATAGAATAGCTCAAATCTCTTATGTGCCTGGTATGCCTGTAACTTGAATAAAGGAATTAGACTGAAGCTGAGGCTAAATTAGGCATTACCATGCATCGGAGCACTAGCAGGGGGAGAAACTGCAAGGAAAAAAGCCTATGGAATGGTTTATACTTAAGAAAATATGAAAAGTGTTTTTGAAGATAAACCTGTGTTTTTGAAGGATGATTACAGTTCTGGGCATCTCAGACCTGTGTCACCAGTTTGAGACACTTGAGACTCAATTTTTGGGGCCCCAGTTCTCTGCATCTCAAGTCAAATGCTGAAAAGCAGAAGTACTGAGGGCTGGAGAATAGTCTTGATAATTTGGTCCTCAAGGTAGTCTTTTCAGAATCAACTCTGTGATTACAATGCATAAGCCCTATCTTTCGAGTCTCGTATAAAGTCACTTGCTCACTCTCCGTGTGGCAGGGCACCTCTATAAGGAAGGGAAGTCAGTGAGATTTAAACTGTTAAGTCACTTAAGGACATCTGCAATGCCTTTCTGTGAAGAACGCATGAATATTTAACGAGAGCATTTCTTTTTCAAGGTATGATACAGATGCAAAAGGATATCTTACTCACCAAGAATTTTTACAGAAACTGGGGATAGAGTTTGCACCCACTGACACAGGGCTCAGCAAACACATCACGGAAGACAGATACGCACATTTACAAATGCATTATAATAATCAACAAAAGAAACATTCAAAGCTGGAAGAGCAGCAGAAACAGCAAACTAAAGCTCTGCATGCAAGAGAAATTAAAAAGCAGATCAAGTAAGTTATTTATGAGCTAGCATATAACTTTTTGTGTTTGTATTTAGTTTGCTAAGATGAGACTGTGTACAATAAAAATGTAATTTTACCATAGAAGGCTCTGAAAAGAAGTTTCAGAAGGTACTGGACCAAGCTTATACATAGTGTTATTCCCTTGATTTTCTGCAGATAAGCCTAGCTCAGTGTGCATTGTGAGACTTTTTTTTATATATATTGTCCGTGGCTTATTATTTTGTATTTTACAGACTTTATGGCAATATCTATACTGACAAATCCGAATGTCCAGAGACATTCCTAGACCTAGTCATCTATGCTGCTAGACTGCCAAAAGAGTCCTCATCATGCTCTGGCCTGTGTCAGCTGATGTTTTTCCCTGATCACTCCCAGCACTGTTTGGGAGCAAGAATGCTTCAAGGAGGGTTCCTAACAGGCAGTTTGCAGGCAGCTGCTCCCTTTCGGCAGCTACGAAGGTTCCCTAGCAGAGATGTGCCAGCTGGCCTCTGTGCCCGGAGCGATCCTGGGCCTCTTTATGGGTATCATCTCAGCTTGTGGTTCCAGTCCTAACGCTGCTGTCAGCTCAGACTGAGCGAGAAGGGAAGGGTAATGATAGGACAAGGGGAAACGGTTTTAAATTGGAAGAAAAAAGATTCAGATTAGATCTCAGGAAGAAATTTTTGACTGTGAGGGTGGTGAGACACTGGAACAGGTTGCCCAGGGAAGTTGTGGATGCCCCATCCCTGGAGGTGTTCAAGGCCAGGCTGGATGGGGCCTTGAGCAACCTGGTCTAGTGGGAGGTGTCCCTGCCCAGGGCAGGGGGATTGGAACTTGGTGATCTTTGAGGTCCCTTCCAACCCAAACCATTCTATGATTCTATGATTCTAAGAGCAAGTGCAGTTGTGTTGCCCTGCAGGCCTCTTCTTCTCAGACTGCTGCGGGCGACGTAGACTTAGACCTTACCTGATTATGCTTAACAGGGGCTCTTCTTGCAGCTGAAATGGATGGGCATGTAGGACACTGTGGTCCAATAGCCTGCTGGATGAGGGCCAAGTAGCAATCACAGTTGGTTTCACATCCCTCTAGCAGCCAGATAAATTGTTAGTAAATGCCTTAGTAGATTCAGCAAAAAACAGCCTTGACAAGGATGGACGCTGGCTCCATATGACAGAAATAAGCAACTTGTCTCCAAGCAAGAGGACTCTCTGCCTCAAACAAAAATCAACACTCACGGAGTTAATAGGTCACTGCTCTGGAGAAGAGCATTTGACAAACAAATGACAAAACGATATCCTTCTCAGACCAGAGTCTAATGATCCATGCTTGCCCTAGTGAGTCAGCAGTGATTAGTCTGCTACTGCTGGAGGATTCCTGCACCTGCCAGCAGATTAAGGCAGCAGGAGAATCCTCTGCCCCAGTACAGTGCTGTTAAAACTTTATATTTCCAGGTTGTGGATAGACACCACCTGGATGCTTATAATATTTTCTGCTTGCACTTTCACTCTTCTCCTGGACTGCTTTATTTATTTATTTATTTAGGAGTGTAAACCCTCAGGAGCAAAAAAAACATGTAAAAATATTCCCTCAAGAGCACGCATTTCCTCTCTTTTGTGCTCAGAAAGTGTCTGGAAGTTGTAGGAACTAATAAATTATTATTGATAAGAATGATAATTCCCCATGACATTGTTGGTAAAGGTGATACACTCATAAACAAAGAAGAGCAGCCTTGTCTTGCAGATAAAGAGGCAGCTTGGGAAATCATTAGACAAAAAACCCCACAAAACACAGAGAGAAGCCTGTAAGCTAAGGCTTTTGCTTTTTACCTTGCTTTTTTAAATTCTGTTTTTCAGGATCCCAAATAGGCTGAAGGAATCGAGGGCAAAACTCTCTTTTCAGTACCACAACTCTCCCACCTGCATTGCAGGTCTCTGGCATAAACTGCATTTATGACACCCACAGGTATCAACGAGTGTTCCACCTGTAAAAAATCGCATAATATACAACAGAGATGGTTAGGCAGCTGCTGTGTTGCAGACATTGCTCATTACTGATCTGAAACTTGGGCCCTAACAGTCTTATACTGGGCTCTTCTGCTCCATTTCTTTTACCAGCCCATTGTCTCTAGTCTTACGCATGGACGAAGAGCTCTTTTGGTCAAGAACCTTCTATTTCTTTCCTGTTAGGTCAATACCAAGTGCAAGGCAGCCCTGCCTCCAATGCTATAAATAAGAAGCAGCTCTGCAAGTAAGGAAGATGCTGTGCTGCAAGCAGAAATTATGCAGTGTGGCTCAAAGATGCAAATACTCATCCCGAAGCAGCTGGAGAGTAATTAAATCAATGGGGAAGACATGACGAGTAAAAATAAAATAGCCATGATGTGACATGCTGGCAGGTCCACATCATTTAGAATTATTTACTTTTCAGAACCTACCATAACAACGACTATGTATAGCACTATGTATATGGCAATTATGCACACAAATGCATACACAGGAGCACAGAGCGATTGCTTAACTGCAATTTGGAGGAAAACAGAAATTGACAGACTGGGTCAAGTATAAACTGGATTCTTAGTTACCTGCTAGCAACCGGAGCCAGATATTTCTGGTTGAGGTGGAACAGCCTTCTATTAGATGGATGTGGAATATTCTGCCCCCTGCACTATGGCCGTCTCATCCTGGGCAATGACAGGGTTTGGTTTAAGCCTGCAGATGGGACTTTTATACTCCTTTCAGAAACTATGTTCTAATTATTTGTTAGCTTCTGGCTTTTCTTGATTTATATATATAAGATATCCAGTTCTGCACTTAATCTATTGAAATTTCTGGCATCTGCAGCTTCCTCTGGGAATGAGTTCACAGCTTAGTAGTTTGTGGTCTGCAAAAAGTATGTCGTTATCAAATATTGCCACCTATCAGTTCCAGCTGAATGTTCTCTTCTTGTCTCCCACACTTTCTCACCCACCTCCTGGCTGGTGGGAGCAGTCCTGTGGTAGCAGTTCCTGTCTGGTTTTCTCCCTCAGAAAGCTGGAAGTGCAAAAGGAGTTTAACCCAGGCCTCTGAACTCCTCAGATTTCACATAAGGCTCTGGAAAGCCATAAATGACTCTTAAGCCAGAGTCATTGTCTGACAGATGAAATCCACCCACATGGTGGCTGTGAAGGCAGCGATCCAGCCAAGTGTCAGCCTTCAACTCCAGGACCACGTAGGTCAGCTGAGATGCAGGAAGCCCAGGTGGGCATGGTGCCCAGCTACCGTAAAGGTCAGCGGAAGGAGATCTGCTCTTGGTCAGGAAAACGGACGCAGCGACTGCAAAACCTGACCTTGGTGATCCACGTGGGTCTCAGCCTCCACTCTCAATGAGTGGGAAAATTGATTCCTTTCACCTGTCAAATTCGGACTTTGGGAGGAAGCAGTTGCCCGAGGTGTAAATTTGCTGGTTATAGGACCCCCTTGAGCAGCACCCACTCCCCCTTCTGTGATCTTGCTTAAGTCATAGAGTTGTCCAGGCCAGAAGGGACCTCCTAAGGTCATCCAGTCCGACCCCCCCGCAGTCAGCAGGGACACCCCCAACTAGACCAGGTTGCCCAGGGCCTCGTCGAGCCTCTCCTTGAATATCTCCAGGGAAGGGGCCTCAACCACCTCCCTGGGCAACCTGTTCCAGTGCTCCACCACCCTCACAGTGAAGAACCCTCTCCTGCTCTCCAGTCTAAATCTGCTCCCCTCCAGCTTGAAGCCGTTGCCTCTCGTCCTATCACTGCAGGCCTTTGTAAACAGTTTCTCCCCAGCCTTCCTGTAGGCTCCCTTCAGGTACTGGAAGGCTGCTATTAGGTCTCCCCGGAGCCTCCTCTTCTTCAGGCTGAACAACCCCAGCTCCCTCAGCCTGTCCTCGTAGCAGAGGTGCTCCATCCCCCTGATCATTTCAGTGGCCTTCCTCTGGACCCGCTCCATCAGGTCCATGTCCTTCTTATATTGAGGGCTCCAGACCTGCACACAATACTCCAGGTGAGGTCTCACCAGAGCAGAGTAAAGTGGCAGAATCACCTCTCTGGACCTGCTGGGAACGCATCTTTTGATGCAGCCCAGGATGTGATTGGCCTTCTGGGCTGCAGCTGCACACTGCCTGCTCATGTCCAGCTTCTCGTCCACCAGCACCCCCAAGTCCCTTTCCTCAGGGCTGCTTTCTAATACCTCACCCCCTAGTTTGTATTGGTGGCGAGGATTGTTCTGGCCCAGGTGCAGAACCTTGCATTTGCTCTTGTTGAACCTCATAAGGTTCACCTGGGCCCACCTCTCCAGCCTGTCCTCTTGTTTCTATTTGTGCAGCGGCTGCATCCAGCCCGTGTCCTTTCTTCTGGCTTTCTGCAGGGGCTGTGAACCTCACCCTAACAGCTCTGGAGCAGTTTCAGTGCCCTGTGATTGCACACTGTGAGGCAGACAAAAGCCCTGGACATCTTACAATTCAAAACATACTGCTGTGCGCTCTTTTTTTTTTTTTTTTTTGCTTTTGTTGTAACTCACAGGAACAAATCGCCCAAATTAGAAACAGACATTGAACAGTGGCTCTCCAGCTCTTCAAGAAAAATACAAAACAATTGCAAGAAAATATTATTTTTTGGCAATGTAGCTTGATCTATGGTTTTAATCCTCATTTTCTCCACATGCATATTTACTGCTGTGAGTGGAATAATTACTGCTTGGAAATCTTTTATCAGTCCAAAACTGTTGAATGCCTCAATTTTCCAAAAATATGAATCTCAAAAACTGTTTTGATTTTACTTCAGCCTTTACTTTCATTAAGAAGATTTAAATGGAAGATAATAGTGGTGATGAAGAGTGGCACTGCAAGTTATGTATAGTTGAAAAGGGTTCCAGAATTTTTCTGCAATGAGGGATACAAGGTGGACCACATCACACCTTGAAAGCACACCCTTGCAAGATGGAAGGAGCAGTGCTAAATAGTCTTCTGGGACTGGAGGAGATCAATCTGCAGTGAAATCACAAACT